AGTAGAATATAATACAGAACAAGGAGGAAAAGAATATAGAGTAGAATAGAAGAAACTACAGAACCAAGCATAACAGAACAGATTATAAAGTAGAGAACAAATCGAGAATGGAATACAGAGCAGAAATAAGAATATGAAATAAAACAGAAAAGAACACACAGTAGAAGAGACTACAATAGAATATACATGAAGAGAATAAAATAGAATTTACAGTGCAACAGATTAGAAAAATTTACATTATAGCTGAGAAAAGAACAGGACAGACTATGGAACACATTATCGTCAATAGCTGTCACCACGATGTAGTCATCTTTGATTTATGAAAGCTAAATAATGTTAAACTCGAGAAAAATATCACCGCCTCCCCCGCTTCTTGACGAGGTTCCACAGACGTTAACGATACTAACAATGCACGAAACACGTGATGGCAATCCAAAAGGGTATTAAAGTACTACAAATCAATATTTACCAAACACTAACTACAAGTTCCGAACGCTTATTTATGTACATAAATTAAACGCGTGCTTTAAGAATGGCGATCGTCTTCAGAAGATCCCAACTTCGTCCACTGCCACGGAATTAACAAAACAACTCCTACTCATTTTCTTTTTATTCCCTTTACTTATATTTTCTCTTCTGAAAGAGCGAGAGAATCTACGCACCCGTGATTCACGTTTTAGCGTGAAATACGCAGGTAACGATGATGAATCATCATCGGAGGCAGATTTTTTTATTTTTTATTTTGCATGCTCCATGCCTCAAGGACGCTTCTCCAAACGACCTCCTACAAAAAATTATTTCCTTCACGATGAAACTTGAAACGCAGAATGCCCTGGGGGATCTAGTGGCCGGATACATAAAGTCACTTTTTTTTTACGCTTTTTATTTTGAAACTGCGGTTATTTCCTGGTGTTTTTTTTTTTTTTTTTTTTTTTTTTTTTTTTTATGCCGCCACACGCAGGCAATTCACAAGAAACCACCCTGAGATATTATCGCCCTGCTACAAGTGTCAAAGTGTTCGAATTAAGTTGAGATGTTTTAAATTGGAGGAAAGCAAAGTGATAAATTACCAGATTTCTGCACCTTTTTACGCAATGCTAAAAAAAATATTTTGATTTATTACAGCAAAGTAAAACAAAATTAAAATTTAGAGAGACAACTCTCGATTAACCGAAAAAATTCTTAAAATTTTTTAAATTTTTATTATTTACGGAGCAATGCAAAAATTCTTTTAAGAAACAATCAGCTTAAAATAAAACTCTCTACCAAAAAAAAGGGGGGAAGGGGTGAAAAAGCAAAAGAAACAAAGATTTGAAAGGATTCAGATTTTATGTTGCATTAGATGGTCGTCGTAAAAATTAATTAAACATTAACTGTCTGACTATTTCTAAACTATTGATTACCTTATTATTAATTACCTCAAAACTATTAATTGCGTCACGATTCTTAAAATTACAAACTATTTATTCTCTAATGATTAAATTATTTTAACTCTTTAATTATAAATTATCTAACTATTAAGTACTGGATATTAACTATCTCAAAATTATTCATTTTCTAATCCTTCTCAAAATGATTAATATTGTTCCACGACGATTCTCAAAGTGATTAACAATTAATTCTGTACAAATTACACTTTTTCTGACTATAAATATTAACCGTACGACTATTATTAAACTATTGATTATAAATTGCCTATCTATTATCTATATCAAACTGTTTATTGTCTAATGATTTTTAGAATTACATAGCATGAATTGTCTACTGATTAAACGACAAACAATTATTTAACCATATCTCTTAACTGTCTAACCATTAGCCATTATTAAACTATTAATTATTAATTGTGCAGTTTTGAACTACATAAAAACTTCTAATTTTCTAATGTTTCTCAAAATCACAAACTATTTAATGTCTAACTATTGCGTGTGAACTGTCTACCTATTAGCTATTACAAAAGTATTCATTATTGATTATATAACTATTAACTGTTCCCAAACTATTCACTATGATTAACTAGTTATTGTCAAACGTTTAAACTATAAATTATTATAAACTAATCTAACTGCTAACTATTAACTGTCTTAACTTGTAATAAACTATAACTGTTAAGTGTTAACTATTATAACCAGTAACAGACTAACTATAACTGTTAGAAGATTTTTTATGTTCTCTCTCAGCATCGCAGGTTACCAATCTGCTGTCGAAGAATCCTGCGATCGCTTTGTCTTTTTAGCTTTATTTGTCGCTTTCCACGCACTTACGTCATATAAAATTCAACAGCAAAATCACAAAGTATTTTAGAATAGCCTATCTTTAGAACTCCCTATACAGCGTCAGGGGTTACATTACATTTTGTTTTAATTCGCTATATTATTTCTTTGAAAATTAGTCGCTCCAGAAAGCAGCCGCCTGACAGAATTAATCTTAAAAATGGAAAAAAAAATATGTAATGGTTTTAATTTTAGTACTATGATTTCATAAAAATATTTTATATTTCTACTCGTGAATAAAATTGACAATTTAAATCGATCAGTTTAAAAAGCAGGGAAAAAATTAAGAACTTTATTTATGCGTTTATGGCTTTTCAATCACTGGGTTTGTTACCCAGTAACAAAAGATTAAATTTGAAAGTTAAATATCTTACCTTTATGGAATGTCAACACGATGACGAATGGAGATAATAAGTATTCGATTTGAGGCAATGGCAACATACTGCTTTCAAACAGCCGTATTTGTGGATTAAAATTCAAAGATTAGCATGTTGCATTCAACGATCTTACATTCTGCCGAATGGCAACAGTCTGGCGCGCCGGAAATAAAAATGTTTTATTTCGAACTGTGTTGCCAACTCTCGCTTTCAAATCGCTGAGTTATTAGATGTTATTGCGCGGGTATTCTTCGTCTGTCTCTTTCGTCTGGTTTCAATGCTTTGGGGAACCATTTCCGCATCACGAAATTCCTATTTATTGAGTTGAGAAAGCGACGATGACACAACTAACCAGCAATGATCATAAAAAAAAAAAAAAAAAAAAAAAAAAAAAAAACTAATCAAGACGCATTTCGGTTGTACCCAATATTTTATTCGAAGTCGTTATTGCTTCTGAACAGACAGAAACACAGCGAGAGAAGATTACATTGTTCAGATTTTGGGTTTCTAGGAAGTCTCTAGATACTTATTAGTGTTTTCCAAATGACTAAGAAAAAAGCTATAACGATGAAGGGGGGGACCGACGGAAGAAAAAGAGAATTAGCTATAATGCCCCGATGATTGATTACGACTTCTCAAAGAAATGCCGACCATCATACACAAACAAATAACATCTTTGAACTTAAAATGTTTGGGATTTCCAGACTAAGTAAGTTACTTTAGATTACATGAACTTTCTTTTTTTGGGAGAGGAGAAGGAGAAAGTGTTCTGTTTCACATCACGCAATATCCATTTTAAATCCCTCCACTTCCAAAGATAAGGGTTATTGACATATATCGTATTTTCTCGTTAATAGAAATTACTACAATTTGTTAAAAAATTCGAATATTTGAATATTCGTAAAAAAAATAAAACTAGAAAATTTCCAAAAAAAGTAACTGAGCATTTTAATGGGGGAAAATCGTCAGAAAAAAATTTGAACATTTGATTATTCGTGTGTGGTGTGGGGGGGGGGAATTGAATATTTGAGTAACTCTACCTTCATAGGAAAAAATTTAGATACAAAAGAACTCGTTAAAAAATTCCAAAATTTGGTATATTTGTAGAAAAAAGTTTGAGTATTTCAATACAAAAAAATTCGAATATTTGAAAATTCGCAGAAAAAAATTGAATACTTCAATACAAAAAAAGGGGGGGAGAGAAGAAGAAAAGAAAGGAAATTCGTTATAAAAAATTCATTTCAGAAAACTCGAATATTATAACAGTCGACGAAAATTTGAATACCCCCGAAAAAAATTCGTTGATCATTATTTCATCTTTTCGAAAAGAAAGGCTGACTATCATACACAAACAAATATAACCTATGAATTTACGTGTTTAAGGTTTTCCAAATTGATATATGAAGTTACTTTTGATTACATAAAATGTTTTTATTTTTTTATTTTAAGGTGTGGGTTGGAGAGGAAAAAATGTTCTATTTCACATCACACAATATCTATTATAAACCCTAGCAACGAGAAATACGGGTTTTTAGCATATATCGTATTCCCCCCCCTTATTTTACTAATTTTATTGTCCGAAAATCGAGAAAGGAAAATCACGAGAATAAGTTTAATGTCAAAAGAAAACGGTTACAGTCAGTACATAACAAATGAAAGGTAGCCATTGGAGTACCGGTAACTATCAAAATATTATTTCTTTCTCAGAAACCTAGATTCTGTTAAGAATACACAGTAATATTAACATCACAACATCTAATAAGATACCATGATTTCTACTTTCCCGTAACTTAAATCTTGCCTATTTTTATAGTTGTCTCTGCTACTTCTTAGGCCTCCAGCATTCATAAATAATTTAAGATGGTGAGTATGCAGTCGACTGGGCGAAATCTTAGACAGAATGTCACCTCTCGTGGCTTCGCCGTCATGGGTCGGTTCTCATATTAGGATGGCATAAAGTGTAATGGTTAGAAAGGAAAGGTTTGGCGTGATCTACGCGGGCAATCTGTGATTACCTTGTTAGTGAGATGAAAAAATCACTAGGCGGTCGGACCTATTTGAAAACGCATTGAGGAAGCAGAAAACATTTAAAAATATCTTTAAAATTTTCAGGCCCTGGCACTAGAGAGAAATACGGTAAATACGACGATAAATAATAATAAACGTCTTGTACTTTGCCGAAAAACATTTTCTTTAACAAAAAATAAAACCGCAAGCCAGGGAAATTCAGTGATCCACCGGAAGACCAAAATACAGAAAAACAGGAACAATTAGCAGCTACGAGATAGTTCGGTAAATCCGAATAATTAACATAACGGACATTAAAATATACAACCAAAAAAGAACTTACAGAACTCCGACGACGTCTGAGTGGCTATACTCTCACAATGAGGAACATAAACCTTCTCAACTACGGATATGCTTTGAGAATCACTCTGGACGCAGACAAACTCCCTCGCATGGGACTGGCTGTCTTCAGGTTTTGAGATTGGACCCTCATCAGCTTCAGGAATGACTTCGCTTACTTGACTGCTGTCCTCTTCAAGGCTGGTTTGGACGGAACTGTCCTTTGTATCAACAGAAGAACCGTTGACGTGACAGCATCTAGGAAATGTGGACCCTTGACCGGAACTCGGAGAAGTAGCCCACGGTTTGGGAATACCATTCCACTCTAGTCTCTCAATACCTAGGAAAGAAAATGATTAAATACTCAAAATTCTCGAAATTTATGGTAAAGAGAGACGGGTATTTCAAAACACGTGTCCGACACTGAATAACATTTAAGTTCTACTACGAAAATAATCAAGCGCTAATAAGTATAATCTGATAATAATAATCATAAGAATAATATAATAAATATAATATAATAAATAATAAGAAATCTGATAATAATAATAACGCAATTAGCTTGCAAACCAGTTACTGAAAAATACGTTAGTTTAACATAGACCTAAAAATGGAATTCGAAAATGAATGTTTAATGTACCGCAACGTCGAGCTGCAGGATATATCTCAGAAACTATGCAAAGGGACATTCAATAAACCGCAAGGTACAGCTTCAGAGTATATCCCAGAAAATAAGCAAAACTTTTTTTTATGTACCGCACCATCGAGCAGTACATAAAATATCTTGCATCTCAGAATATATCTCGGAATATAAGCAGGACTTTTAATGTACCGCAACACAGAGCTTTAGTTAGAATATATTCAGAAAACATGTAAGACATTTAATATACTGCAATGCCAAGATATATCTCGCCAAGTATGTACGACATTTAACGTACCACATTGCCGAGATTCAGAATATATCCCGCAAAATATGCAAGACATTTAAAACACCGCAACGTGGAGTATCAGGATACATATGCAGGGAAATATGCAAAATATGTTCATGTGCCACAACATCCAGATTCACAATGTATTCCGAAAAATATTTAAGATATTTAATATACAGAGACGTCGAAATTCAAGATATAATCCGAAAAACATGCAAGACGATTCATGTAACGCAACGAGGAGCTTCAGAATATAAAATATGTAAGATAATTAATATACAGAAACGTCGAAATTCAAGATATATTCCGAAAAACATGCAAGACGTTTCGTGTAACGCAACGACGAGCTTCAGGATATAGTACAAGGCAAAAAATGCAAGACATTTAATGGACAGTAAAGTCGCACTTCAGGATAAATTCCGGAAAATATGTAAGACGTTTAATTTACTGCAACGTCGAGCATCAGGATACATATTCCAGAAAATAAGCAAGACGCTTAATGAGCTACCATATCGAGCATCAGCATATATTCCAGAAAATATTCAAGACATTTAATATGCCACAATGTCCAGATTCAAAATACATTCCGGATATTATGCAGAACATAACATTTAATGTTCAGGAACTTCGAACTTCAGGATATATCCCGCAAAATATGCAATAAAAGTTAATGGTCAAGTTTTCAATTAGTTATTTTTATATTTAAAGTATTTTCCAGTAGTAAATGAAACTCAAATTTTCCGAAGAATATTACTGACTTTAAATTAGATCAGCCTCAATTGAAATAATCTTAAAATCTCCCCTTAAATAAAGTATTACGTTAAACAATTCTTTAGCTACAGAAAATTTTAAGTAAGCTACTGTGTAATTTTTATATGTATCACAAAATTCACCTGAATCACAGTTCAATAAAATAAAATTCATATCAGCCACCTTTAATAGGAAAACTAAGTTCACTTTTCATCAAAGGGAATATTAAATAATCCGTTAATGGTATGAAAATTTTAATAAGCTACTTTTTAAGTCTTACTGGTAACACAAAATTGACCTGAATCACAGTTCAGTTAAATACTATATTTCCTCGAGAATTCCCCCTTAAACACTTTTATTAATTTCATCTTCGTTTAATTCATTAAAAAGCAACTTTCGTTAAGATATCGGGATCCACGTGTAAAGGTCTTTATTTCAGTGAATACTCACCGATGTACACTAGAGGTACTGCACCCTTATGAAGTTCAGTTTAGAGCTTGGACAAAGCTAGTTGCACCGAACTGCCGTGAATTTACCATGTTTCTGTTATTCCCGAAATCTCCATCTTAAAAGTGTCGGCACCTTCGTGGAAGTCGGCCATTGTTTGCCAAAGATATGCTGACAATAAAGGTTCTAACACCTTCATTACGGCGGCACCATTATATTTTTAACTTGAAAATAAATTTCGTCACTGCTACATACGTTCAAAGCACTCTATTCTTGTCTTCGTATAAGATAACCACTATTCCTTACAGTAAACTACCCTCGAGGTCCAAAGTCAATTCTTTATGAACTGTGGGGAAATAACTCCCCGAGGTCAGGGCGGAAGTAAATTCTCCAGCCAGCAGTAATTTAATAGAGCTTCATTTGTCAAAGTCTATGCACCCTGCACGTACTGGATGTTTTTGGTAGCGAGGCGAACCATCTCCCCCGCAACTTGAAAAGCCAGATTGTGGAGACTCGTTTACTCCAGAAAATTAACAACTAAACGCAACAAAGACAGCATGATGCTAAAGGTTCTGGTCCATTAATAGCTATTGATGAAAACATACCATACATGTATAAGAAGATTTGCATGGATTGCTGATCACCTTATTTCAAGCACCCATTCTTTCCATCCTGCGAAAACCAAAATCTATGAAAGACCCCTAAGCGGCCACTAACTTGGGGGGGAGGGCGAGAACGCAACAGGAAAGGATGCGAAAGGCCTTTATGAGACTGCCAAGAACGACTGAAGGGGAAAGAGGGGGCTCTGGCGACACCCCAAAAATACCGGCAAGGAAAGTAATCCAAGAGCTTTATTTAATATGGTCCCAATTAAAAACAGAACAAACATCTGTTAGATGGCAATGTATGTTTGTTATGAAAGTCCTTTTGCAAGGGAAAACCCCTACGTAAAGCCCAGTAAGCGAGAAAGGTTGAATCTGAGCCGGGCACGCCAGAAGAAGAGAGAGAACAGCGGCAATATACAAAAGGATCGTCCACAATGCCCTCCCAGTGATCCGACGGGGGGTCCCTAACCAGGTGCAGCAAACAAACAAAGAAGAAACAACTAAAGGCATACACGCTAAGACCGAACGAATCACAGCAGTTAGAATTGAACTTGAGCGGTTACAAGTTGAGAATGTATACGATCGGTGGTCAAGGGAGTTAAAAAAATTAGAGTTATTGCTACAGAAAACAGCAATTCAATCGACGGCCTGGGATCGGGTACGGTTAGAGAGGTTAGTGCAAAGAAGCAAAAGAAACAAACGACTACTGAGATCAGCAACGGTTAGAGATGTTACAGCGAAGAAAGGAAAGAATCGAGTGAGCAGTGGGATCAGGAACGGTTAGAGAGTTTAGAGTGAACAGCGGAAACAATCGAACGACTAGTAAAAAGGGATCAGAAGAATCAACTGAATAAAACGCTAACTCCCTGAACTGATACTTTAGTTTTGAAACTCCCTAAAATTTCCTTTCCTAAAAAAAAAAAAAAAAAAAAAAAAAAAAAAAAAAAAAACTGAAAACATAATTTAAATGCATACACAGCAATTAATTCCAGAATAATAACAACATCTTAACAGCAACAGAACAAACACTTACTATGACGATGAGTACACAAAAAGAGTAGTACAAAAGAAATAAATACACAATGCAAGTTAAAAATTAGAATTTCTACGAAAAACAAGCAATTCGGCCTGCGGCGAGCAAGAAGGCAGATTTTTCTGTGCACAAAACTGTACTTTCGGTGCCACTCCGCAAAAAAACACTGAAGTTGGTGTAGAAACTGACTCAATTCTCTATTCTACTAAGAGTTTCAAATGTATACAAACAGCAGCATCGTTAGGCTTAAGAGCACTTAAACAACTTTTAAGCTGTTGATAATTCTACAACTATTGCATGCAGGTTAACTTAAGGCATAAAAGCCTTAAACGAAAAATAAGAACAACACAATTCAATCACTTTTAAAGCAACAAATGCACAATTTGCGAAAAATAATAATAATAAATAAAAAAAAACTTAGCTCACCGAGTCGGAATATAATATAATAAATATTATAACCACGAAAACGCCCATGCAGCCACGGATTCGAGCCTCGGACTGAACTACCAATGTTTACGACTGTACCGCTCGGCCGATGGTGGGGGCCCCTTAGGTATGACAGTCAGAGTCACTAACCACTTTCCCGTCTGGGCGGCAGCAAGAAAAAAGTAGGTATAAAACTTTACGTAATGACTATAAAAGCAAGAGGGAAAATAGATACAAAATTGTACAAAATGATTATAAAAGCAAGGGGGAAAATAGATACAAACTTGTACAAAATGATTATAAAAAAAGAACATAATAAACACAAAATTGCGCAAAATTATTATGAAACACGATAAAGGTACTTACAAAAAATTTCCGAAATGATTGGAAATGATTATAAAGCAAGAAAAAAGGTAGATACCAAAATTCTACCAAAAGATTAGAAACGATTTTAAAGCAAGTAAAAAGTAGTTACAAATTTCTACGAAATAATTATAAACGATAATTCGATAAAGCTATTATAATAGGTTATAAAACCAGCAAAAAGCAGATAAACAATTATTAAAATAATTAAATTACATTAATCACCTACATATACAACCACGAAATACATTCCTTGTGTAAACGGGGAAAACATTCTCGATTTCCACGAAAGCCGGCACATGGTTTTCTTAAAAACACGAGAGATTCTTCAAATTCCAAGCACCATATGAATGGAAACGCAGAAGACATCCCATAATCCACCACCATAAGCGAACAACAAACAACTCAAGCAGAACTTCAAACGATTTCTATTCGTGAGAGAAAAAAATCCACACGGACGAAAGCAACATCAGCGTTGCCACCCATTAATGCAAAAAATAAATAAATAACGCGCTGCAAACCAGACCTAATATACGTCCGACGAAATGGTAGACGAAAGAAACAATTCGAACGCGGAAAATAGCTTTGATTTATTTATTCTTCCTTCCGCCGACGAGAACTATGTTTCTAATCTAATACCGTCGGCGGAAATGACTGTTTGTTCTATGAAGACTCTGGCAATAAAATAAGGAAAAAATCATAGAAGCCTAGTTGCCTTAATACCAGTTCGACCTCGCCAACAGGTTATTTATTCCTCATGCTAAGAAACTTGAAGATAATAGCAAATTATTACCAGACTAATAAACAAATATATAAGAAGGAATAGGATAATTCATACCCCAAACAGTGGATTTTTCCTCCTCCCCTCTCTTCAATTGCCGTTACAGTTCCGGTTAATAAAAATCCGTGGAAATTAATACAAAAGAAGTTCTACATTATACCAAAATTTATTACACTTTTGACAAATTCCATCAAAGGACAAACTTCCGATACGCTTTTCTAACTGCGCAAAACAAATAAGTTCCCAGATGATTTCTAGTATCAAAAAACATACAATCAATAATATAGTTCAATAGCTTTTGGAGTGCTATTAACACCGTTGTGCTATTAGCACCGTTGCGCTATTAACACCGTTTCTACTTTGACAAACAGGGGCGGAAATTTAAATACTCGCGGGACGGGGGGGAAGTAGTATTTTAATAAAAAAATTGTTATAAAAAACACGAATATTTGACTAAATTATTTTACATTTCGTGGGAATCTCACAAAGGACGTGGTAAGTTCGATTTTGAATCTTCGTTCATCCTGTACAGTGACAAGGAGATTCTATTTACGATATAGTGGAGATATACTAAGATGTGAGATTAACCCCACCGGAGGATGCCCTAGGGAGAATTTCTAGGATCTCCTGATAATATCGTTAGAAGGAGTTTAAACGCTCACAACATTCCTTGCTTCACTATTCAGAAAAGGCCTTATTGTTGGTGCCCGTTTAGCAGGGGCCTCGATTTCGAAGACAGCAAATCTCACTGAGTTCCCAAAAGCAACCATATCAAAGGTTTTCAAAAGGTGGAATCCCAACACACAGTCCTTCTCTATAGAAGACATAACTGCGGTTCGAGCACAGTTTTCCAAGAGAGTAATCGGCGTCGTATCCGACGAATTGTAGGGCAGACACGAACTCTGCTGTGCTTCAAACGGCACAGATCGTCAACCAAGGCCCTTCCCAACAGATTTCTGCTCGAACCATGCGCAGAGAATTGCAGAAGATAGGAATGTATAGTCGCGTGCGTGTGAGAAAACCACTCATTTCTGCCTGCCATGCAAAAATTCGTCTGCAGTGGTGTCGGCAAAGAAGACATTGGACATCTGAGAACTAGAAACGAGTAATGTAGTCGGATGAATCCCACTACTCCTTATTTTGAACTGATGGAAGACGACAAATTTGGCGAGAACCCCATGAAGCCACGAATCCATTTTGCCTTACTGTGCAAGGGTCTAGTGGGAGTATCATGATATGGGCATGTTCTGCTGGCATAGAAGTGGTGCCCTGGTGTTCCTTGAGTATAAACAAACAGCCTTGACATACCTAAATTTACTGGCAGATCAAGTGCACTCTGCAATGTTGCATTTTGCCCCTGGTGGCGACGGGCACTTCACGGACGATAATGCAACTATACATCCTGCCAGAAGTGTTCAAAATTGGTTCGCTGAACATCAGTCTGACTTCCGCCCGCATAGCCCGGATCTTAACGAAAATGAGTGGGATATGGTGGAAAGACGCATCCGATAGAACTCTCCTCTTCTACCTCATTTAGAAGATCTAAAAAGCTGCATAGCCAATGTATGGTATTCTCTGGACATAAATGAGTTCCAGAAGCATGTACACTCGATGCCCAAACGAATCAGAGCAGTTATCCGTGCAAAAGGTGGTCCAATAAAATACTGATCTTGGGTTTCTAATTCACTGGTCAGTGTGTGTATTTAGAATTTCCGATATAGTGTTAGGTTTTGCGATATATATTTTTTACATTCGCTATATTACTTCGTAGAGTCATTAGGTTAATTGGAAGCAGGAAAGATGAAAAATATGCAACCGCCTTCGCCGGGAATCGAACCACGGACCTCTGAAATACCGGCTCAGTGTGCTGACCACTACACCCCGAAGGCACGCTAGGGAAGTGGGAGAAATACCTTATATACTCCTCTTTTTAGGGGACCTAATCGCCAAATCCTGGGTGCGGAGAATTGTCATCGACAACCCCTTTTTAGTTCGGGCGCCACTTGTAGAGTCATTAGGTTAATTGAAAGCAGGAAAGATGAAAAATATGCAGCCGCCTTCGCCGGGAATCGAACCACGGACCTCTGAAATACCGACTCAGTGTGCTGACGACTACACCCCGAAGGCACCCTAGGGAAGTAGGAGAAATACCTTATAACTTCTTTAAAACTAGCTGCTCGTTCGCTCAGCTACCTAGAAGACTTATAACAGAAAAATAAAAAATCTGATGTGTACACCACATGACTTCCTTGTACGGAATATTAAATTATACACATTTTTTCTTGCATTTTATTTAAACTTATTGGATTGAATTAAATCTACTTCGACTGTGCATAAACCACAATAGAATAAATGCATTCTTTAAAATTCACTTTGTTTACCATAGTGACACTCTGGCGCTAGGTTTACTTAACAGTATTATATTTCGTTCATATTATAACTCATAATGCACAAAATTTATATCATTTAAAGAATTATCTAATCGTTGCCACATGTTCTATTCAAATACTATAATAAAGCTAAAACGATGTATAAAAGAAATTAAAGCAAACAAAACAAAAGGGGGGAAGAAACAGTTTTTCACAGACGATTGAGTATTTCTCATTCAATTAATTCAGTTTTCACTTCGCGACAAGGCAAAAATACATAAAAATCTCAAAATATCTGTATTAAAAATTACGAAGTATATCTTAAACACTTATTTCCTCGAAAAAATTCCAGAAAGGATTAAGCATGATTTATTGGCAATAATAAATGAAGGCGTTATCTTTGTTGTTGCGAAGCTAAGTTTCTCTAGATTGGCAACAAATCCGCTACTCAGCTGTTTCAAATGTAAACAAGAGTAATGGCCGCCATCAAATTAGACAATTCTAAAACAATTTTAAAATTGTTGATAATTCTAAAAATATTGCAGAGAGATTTACTAAAGGCATAAAACCCGTAACCGGAAGATAAAAACAACATAATTCAATCATTCTTAAAGCAAAAAATGTACAATTTACAAACATACAAGAGTAAAGAAACTGAGATCACTGAGGCGGGTAACAAAGTGGACATATTTATAAATATATTTATACGTTTGGCGCGGCCGATTGAAACCAAAATACGAGGTGCACATCTACATGTTATAGTAGTCTTATATACAAAATTTCAACGTTCTGAGGCTACTCGTTTTTTAGTTATGCGAGATACGTACGTACGCACGTACGTACATGTTCGTACGGACGCCAAGCAAAATTCTCTTCAGAATTCATTTTAAAGCAGTTTTTTAGTTTTTTTGGAGGAAAAGAGTCTTTTATTCTGTCCTTACGTACAGATATCACGCAAAAACATCGTTAAATTGCATTCGAAAGCGGTCAAAGTGGATATTTTCGTTGAAATATGCTGCCCGAAGCTTTTCGCGATTACAATACTTCCTTTTTACTTCGTACAAGGAAGTAAAAGTGATATAACGATTTTGATGAGTCTAGCTAGGTGTCACTTCATAAGAATATGTAATATTTCTAATTAAACATCTCGTGATTTTTATTCATTTTTATTTAAATCAATGATACTAAAATGTAGAAAAAATATTCTTGAGAACTACGTTTATTGCTTTTAAATCGCTGAGTTTTTTACTCAGTGACATTCTAGATTAAATTTGGAATTGAATTACACTTTGCTTAATGGCAACACGCTGGAACGTGGAAAATAAAAGTATTTTATTTCAGGCATTAGTAAACAATTGAAACTAAATCATTACCGAAAATAAAATAAAATAAAAATAAATAAATAATAAAGTAAAATAATAAATAAATAATAATAAAATAAAAATATATTTAATTGTTAACAGCGTATGTGTCTTTATTACATAATGTTATATTTACACAGAAATCTAAAAAAAAATACATCAATATAAAATACAATCCTAGGCCAAAGCTATTGAAATTCTAACAGCTTGAAATTGTTTTGCTACTTGCATATTAAAACAAAGATCTCTGCGAAGTTTGGCGACTTTTTTTAGATGAAAACGCTGACTTATTATTGAGAAATATTTATTACATATATATTTCATGCTTGGATCATACAGTTATTCTAAAAATGAATCATGTAACTTACTTAAAAACGGGTTTTTGCGTTCTTTTCCTCTTGTAATCAATTTCTTCTCGTTTCGGTAAAGATCCTTTAAAACAGCGATTTCAAACCGTCGGCCGCAAGTCTCACGCGAAAGAAATGTTATGCGTCCTTTGCAGACATTTCAATTACGTATTACCCGTAAATAAGGATTTGCAAAGATTTCAAAATTTTAATTATTTGAAGTTCGAGTTTATAACATTTCCATTTCGATTTAAAATTAGCATAAACAACGCACCAGAAAATCTATAAATGGAGCTAATTAATTCACAATGTGATTTAAACCTTATTCAAAATTTGAAGATAAAGATTTCATTAATTTTTATTCGTACTTGTTAAAAAATAAGCTCAGTTACGAATTTTTGAGCTAAAAATAATCGTTTGGGAATACATTTATATGTGAACAGCTCATTTTTCACATTTGAAAATTGATATGGAAAGAACTCGATTGACCGAAGAATCCGTGATGAAGGTAATTTCCAGTAATTTCTCTCCAAGGCTACAGAGTTTGCAAGAATCTAAACACTATCAAGTATCAAACTACATGCAAACATATGTGTTTTTATTTATGCTCCAAAGAAAAATTTAATAAATAAGAGGAAGAGACTAGGTTGTTATTTATTGTCAAGTTTAGTTCCAATTGGAAAAATTTATCTGAAAACTTAGAAAGCTTGAAATTTGTTTATTTTTAGTTTAAATTAAATTATTTAATGATTAAATAAACCTGTTAGAATTATTTCAAAGAAATGCCAAGATAATGTAGGAATAAAGATAAAATATAAGAATTTGATATTTAGTCGTCATGTTTGAATTGTGTAACCAACAAACATCTCTTGCAGATACCAAACTTTAGATTTCAGTTAGAAAACTAATATAAATTTGAGTTTTTTTCTTTTATGATATTATTATTATTATCGTTCATTTTACGTTTCAATAAATGCTTAGTAAGCGAAATATAAAATTAAATTTTAATATTAAAAAAAATCTTGGCTCGTCAATTATTTTCAGAGCGTTCTTGCAGCCCGCATGCAACCTCAGTTTCAGACCACTGTCTTAAAGAATAAATAGATAGTGATCGTTCCATTTAGCTATTTGTAACAACAATGTCCTGGAGAAATTTTACGGCAGTTTCCTCCATTGGTGGCAAATGCCACATACGTACACTTTAAAATCCAGTTTAAGGCGGAAGCATATGAGATATGTGTTTACACAAACTAATAATTAATAAAACCAATAAACAAAAATATCGACGTTGGTCGTTAAAAGATTCACGAGCATCCCTGTTGCCAAATGGAAATCCTGTCGTAGGCTAACTTTCAATAAACATAATGCTAGAAAAATGCCACCCTCCCCCCCCAAAAAAAAAGCAGGTAGCTACGTAAAAAATAACCGCTTAATAAGCTCATAAAAAGTTGAATTTAGTGTTTTACAGGGAAAAAAAATTCTTTTATTTAAAAATAACGAAAACATAAATGTACGCATGTATAGGGTAAGGTTGCGAAAGTCACACCTTTTAAATATTAGGCGTTATATTACGCCACCTCCGCCTCTTTCGGCAAAACGAGTTATCCTCTTGTCAACCAAATTGTTTTACATCGTGTTCGTCTCACTGTAATAATTGTGAGGAACACCGCGAAGAGAATATGATTCAGTGCCTAAAATGCAGAGTATGGGTACACCACTTATGTGCTGGAGTTGACAAGAAAATGAAAACATATTTTTGTGATGATTGTTGTAATTAATTGTATAGAAAAATTCACTGAGAAAAACGAAGTTTTATTATAATCGTTTAATTTTAAACTTACTACGACTTAAGCTATAGGTGGTACGACTTTAGAAGGCTGGATGGCTAAGTCGTATTAAATTTGTATTCATAAATTTTATCCAAGAGAAACGACTGTATGGAATTTTATTGTAATAAATATCAGCAACGACAACACAAGATATTATTACTACAGATAATAACATTTTTTACGTAGATCCTGCGATTTAGACTTATTTATTCTTATGGGGTACGACTTACGCAAGCTTACCCTATGTATGTATATTACGAACGTATGTGTGTTACACATACATGTTATACACGTGCATTATGTATGGATGTATGTACGTGTGTAATGTGCGTACGTAGGTATGTATGTATATTTTACATATTTATCTTATGCATGTGTTACCGTGAAAGACCGAAATTGG